ATTTAAAAGGTATTTAGTAGTAATATATATATATATATATATATATATTTGTTTGTTTGTTTTTATTCAGGTTGAAGAAGAAGGCTTACAAATTTGTGTTGAAATATGTGGTTGTGCTCTACAACTAGACCTTCATGATGATCCCAAAACTAAGTGTCTAATTTATAAAACAATTGCACATTTCTTGCCAAATGATTTGGAGATCCTCAGGATTTGTGCACTCTCAATATTTTTTCTTGAACGCTCCTTGGAAGCTTATCACACTGTTGAAGAGCTTTACAAATGTCCAGATGAAGAATATAATGAAGGCACCAGTAGTGTTCAAAATCGTGTTCGTTTTGAATTACTTCCAATTTTGAAAAAGGGATTGTTTTTTGATCCTGAATTCTGGAACTTCGTAATGATTAAGAAAAACTGTGTAGCATTACTGAGTGATAAATCAGCAATCAAATTTCTAAATGAAAATACACTGGAAAATTCTATAGGTAATCTAAAAAAGACATTGGAACAGAAAGGTTTAGATGAAGGTGTTGACTCTTTTACAGATCAGAGCACTGGAGAGCTTGATCCTGATGATATATCTGGAGTACAACCTAAAGGCCATGTTAACACAAAGAAAAACCTTACTGCTCTTAACACTTCTAAAGTAGACCACAGTGTCCCAAGGCATCGGTGTATGTTATGTAATAAGGAATTTCTAGGCGGTCACATTGTAAGGCATGCCCAGGCTCATCAGAAAAAGGGCAGTTTTTCCTGTGTTATATGTGGTAGGAAATTTAGAAACAGAGGACTTATGCAGAAGCATTTAAAAAATCATGTTAAAAAAATACAAAGACATCAAATTACTGTAGCTCAACAGGAGGATCAGGAAACTCCTGCTTTGGAAGAAATAAACTTTTCCAATTCTTCAATTTCATTTGAAAACGGAGATTTCGATAATAAAGAGTTGGAAATACCGACTATTAATACTTCCAATGATGGAAACGAAGCAGTCATCCCTGAGCATGTGGCTGAATTCACTGAAATTCCCATAAGTGTATCAGAAGATGTCATTGAAAACATTGAAAATGGCAGTCCTGACACTTATATAAATAATGTATTGGAACCTTTAACTGTATGTGAGGATGATTACGAGGAGGAAGAGGATGAAGAAGGTGATTATGAAGAAGATGATTATGACCTGAATCAAGAAACTCCAGCACTTCATAAAATTAATGGAACTTTGTGCCATCCAAAAGACATATATGATATAGATCAAAAAGGAAACTTTAAGTGCCCTGCTCTTGGTTGTGTTAGGATATTTAAAAGAATTGGATTTCTCAATAAACATGCAAGGACTGCACATCCAACTGACTTAAATGTGCGGCAAACGGTAATGAAGTGGAGCAAAGGAAAATGCAAATTCTGTCAAAGGCAGTTTGAAGATTCTCAGCATTTTATAGATCACCTTAATAGACACAGCTATCCAAATGTGTACTTTTGTTTGCATTTTAATTGCAATGAGTCGTTTAAGCTGCCATTCCAGCTTGCTCAGCACACAAAAAGTCACAGGATATTTCAGGCCCAGTGTAGTTTTCCAGAATGCCATGAGCTTTTTGAAGATCTTCCTCTGTTATATGAACATGAAGCTCAGCACTATTTAAGTAAAACACCGGAATCATCTGCACAACCAAGAGAAGCAATTGCTTGGGATGTTCTTACAGACTCAAATAACAGTTATCAGGAAAAAGACTCATCTAGTAATGAGAAACAAGCTATTAGCCTGCCAGTTTGTACTAGCAAATCAAGGAAAGATTCTACAGAACCAAAGACATGTATAGACAGTATGGAAAAGAAGACAGACAGTTTAGTTCAGAATGGAAATGAACATTCTGATGACACTGTTTCTGATATAAGCTTGACAGACCAAAAGATGCCTGACCTAGAGCCAAATTCTGAAAATAATTGTAGTATTATCGATTTAGTCAATGGACACGGTGGAATAGAACAGACATCTTTAGTTTCATCAGGTTCTGCTTTGAAAATTGATACAAATAGAATCAGAACAGAAAATGGTTCCATTTTACCCAATGTTGTATCACAAGAACACAGTACCCTGCCAGTATCTCAGGCACCATCCAAACCAAATATGATGAGCGAACATACTTCATATGGCTTAATTTTATCAAAGCCATATGTCAGACCATTGCCTCCCAGTTACCTTGATGAACGGTACCTTAGTATGCCAAAACGCAGAAAATTTCTGACTGATAGAATAGATGCCTGTTCTGATCAAGATAACATTTGTAAAAAATCAGTGAAAAGATTAAGATGTGGCAAATGCCTGACCACCTACTGTAATGCAGAAGCACTTGAGGCTCACCGTGCACAAAAGAAATGTCAGGCACTCTTTGGATTTGATTCAGATGATGAAAGTAAGTCTTCTATCTTCTCAGTAGGTATATCTGTAGAAATAGAAAATGCCACAGGTCTTTAAAGTTAACATTTGTATAGCATCCTATATAATAAAAGCGTAACATGCAAATTGACAGGACTGCGGAATGCGGGGGGTGGGGCAGGCGGCACCAGGCCAGCCAAGGCACGTGCCAGTGGGCAGAGGGAGGGAACGACGGTGGGGGGGTGGGGCGACCAGCAGCAGCAGAAGGGCGATAGGGGGGTCTGGCACCGTCTCCTGATCGGCCCGTCAGGTCACCTCCCGCAGAGGGAGGCTGGGCAGCGGCAGGGTGATGGGGGCGGCGGCGTCCCCTATCCGGTCACCTCCTGCAGAGGGAGGCCAGACTGTGGCTCAGGGAGCAGGCCTGTGCCATCAGTAGGACATCCTCTGAGGACTCCCGGACTATGAGAGGGCGCAGGCCGGGCTGAGGGACCCCCCACCCTCCAGTGCACGAATTTTCGTGCACTGGTCCTCTAGTAGATAATAAAGCACTAAACTATACATTATTTCCTTTATACAACCATTATGAGGTGATGTCACTATTCCTGTTTTATAGATCAAACTCAAATTCACAAGTTAAGTAATATGCATAGGCACAGGCCTATGAACTTGTGGGAGCCAGAACTTGTACACAGGTTTTCCATACTCTTTGATCATTTTCACTGTATTTGAAGCTTTTCTTCATTCTAGGTTTCATGTACTTAAGGTTCTAGAAACAAAGTAATTATGATGGAAGTGTTTTTCATCTGCATGCTGTATTATAATCCAAGTGAAACTGAGCCTCTTTACAAATACAATTTAAAAGAATCAGAAAATAAATGAAAGACAAAAATGAGCAGAAGAACTTGCCTGCCTTTTTACCACTATCAATATTCTTTCAATGTGTAAGGGTGTAAATAAACAGGAATCTGACTTAGAGTTCCAGTTGAACATCTATAAAACTCGAATTAATAGACATGTTTTGTTTTACAGGTGCCTGATAAAAATGTATCAGAAAGATCTGTCGATCAAGCAGTAGTGTGAAAAAAGCACTACAAGAAAATGCATCATCAGTTTGCTATTTCCCTGACGGCCTTAATTTTAGAGTGGTCTAGGATTAGTTAAAGACAAAGCACATTGTCTAGAATGAACTCACAGAGATGTGCTAGTTCAGATTCCAAAAGGGTTATTACAAAACTCCCAAAGTACCAGTTATCCAGAAAACCACATTTAAAAAAAAAAGTTCATGAGATTAATAGCAGCACGTTCAGTTTCGCTTAAGTGAGAAACTTGTTCAGGCAACTAGTCAGAAAGAGAAACCAGCTATGGCCTTACAGAAAGGGAGTTAACCCATTTAAAAAGGGGGAGGGGTTGGTTTACAATAAACAACTTAAAGTATTCTACAAATGGGATGGTTTACTTGTCATGTATAATCAGATTTTGACCTCCCTTCTGACCAAACATGGCTTAAGGAATCACTACTAGGTTTATTATAATTTAGAAACTGATACATGAAAATAAAACTTGATTTATCACTGTTCTATCCATAAAAGATTGTAACTTGTTTCCAGATGATTGAATAGACAGGTCAAAGTTCAATATATGGCATGCCAGTATTTAAAAGTAAAAAAACAAAAGACAAAACAGTGCTTTGCTGGAACCTTCCACTTTCCATTTTTGTGATACCAATGAATTATAAAGGCAGCAGTGTCAATTAAATAGAAAAAGTACCATTGGTAACTTTGGGGATAGATGGGAGGAATTTTAAGACCATTAAAGGCTATCTAGTTGGTGGAAAACACTGAATTGCAAATTCCTCAATGTGAATAATGGTATAAGCACACTGGGATATTTCTATTTGTATATAGAGTAGTGTTGGGACATTGCTTGATGATTCATAGTAAGGTCCTTTAGACATTAATGTGAGTTATCTAAGTACAGTCCTATAAAAACTGGCTGTAAAAAATATGTAAGCTAAGAATCAGGTCAAGAACTCATTGGTTTTATTCATTTAGAATAGTTAGTTATAAAATAAGCCATACTACTCATGCTTTCTTATTTATTAGTGATAGATTTGGTCTGATTGATTTTTATATATATATGAAAGGAAATATTTACATAAAAATTTGCACAGCAAGAACACAGTAAGATATATTGATGCATTTATTTTCCTTGATGACCAGTAATTTTCCTAAGGAAGATTTTAACTTAATAAATTAATACAAAAAATGTTTTAAAAATACCCTCTCAGATGTGTTCTACTTGTACATTCTCTAAAAGAGGAAGGCTAAAGACCTTTTATCTAATAATGTGTTAATCTATAGCAGGGATAAAATGAAAAATGCAAAGGCAAATTCTTCAAAAACTGGGCTAGTAATGTACCAATGTCAACCAAATAAATATTCCAGTATTCCGACACATTTTTGTTCAAAGCAGATAATCTGATCAGAGCCTAATATATCCATATATTTTGAATATTAAACTTTGGCATATTAAAGTTTCTTGAATGAAGTTACCAAGCAAGTGGAACATTTCTTCCAGGGCATCATCTAGACCAGTGATGGCAAACCTATGACACGCGTGTCAGAGGTGACACGCGAACTCATTTTTTTTGGTTGATTTTTCTTTGTTAAATGGCATTTAAACATATAAAACAAATATCAAAAATATAAACCTTTGTTTTACTATGGTTGCAAATATAAAAAAATTTCTACGTGACAAGGCACCAGTGTTAAGTTAGGGTTTTTCAAAATGCTGACACGCCGAGCTCAAAAGGTTCGCCATCACTGAGCTAGACTATTGAATTAAGATTTCCAAGTCACAATAGATCATGGTAGGTCAAATATCTAAAAAATTTCCCAATTTTATTAGCTTAGTTATCATGTGCATTCACTACTATACAATTGACAGTCATAAATCCATTCCAATAAAATTTAGGTTTTTTGTTTTTTAATTTTATTTTTATTGTAGCCTACATTAGGCTGTGGAATTTACATTTAAATTGCATAAGTAAACACAAATCAGTTAGATTTTTTAATTCTTTAAGGTCAACTTAAAATCTTTTCCATACTCCCTGACACTAAAAATATAATACATGAGATCTATTTCAGTTTAGTCTAAAATAATCATGTAATTAAGTCTGTCTGGAAACTAGTTCATTTGGACAATAAAGTTATTTTTGAAATATAATTTCTGCTTCATTTTCCGGAAGTTTAAAATTACCACTTAACATTTTTAACTCTTTACTTTTTTGTAAGTTGAAACTATCACGTCTACAAATTACTTTCATTCATTTTGCAGTTCATACCAAGATGTTTTTAAATATATTGCATATGTTATTATGTCTTTGAGGTTTTATTTCTATTATGTTGCTAAGGGAAAACTTTGGGAGATTGATCAAATCGGTTTATACATAAATCAAGGAATGTCTTATAAAATTCTATTTGAACACACTGTTCTCACTCTTTATATATTTCTCAGATAATTGTTATTGAAAGAATGTGTACATTTTATGTATGTTTTATAACACACAAACTTATGTCATTTTGCTTGTAGAGGATGTATAAACTTCCAACAATTCTAGTTTGGGATCCAGAAGAAAAGGAAGCTTTCTTCCTCAATTTATTCTCTTTCTTTTTTACTCCTTCTGTTTTGAGGATATGTTTAACTTACATGGACCAAGTTTCAATCCTATGTTTTTAAATAAAAAAAAAATTGCCTTCAAAACATTACATACTAACTTTCTATGTTTCAGTAAGGTCAAGAAAATAGCAAATCTGAATTTTTGCTGCTCAGATATTTTGGGAGAGGTAAAAAAGGAATCTCCGTGGACAAGGACACTGGTACTTTGGGCTTTAGCCATATTCGTTTTTTTAAACCACCAATTATATAATGAGTAGATAATTTATAACATTGAACTTGTGATTCTTCTGAAATCACACTTGAAGGTTCAGCCGTACTCCTTTTGTGTTTGGTTTAAACTGTTGTATGGATGAAAAACCTAAAAGGGATGATAGTGTTTATTTTTTAATTTATTTGGTACTGTAAAACACCTTTTCAGAATGACTAAATGCTGCATATGCATTTTGGAATTGTTAATATGTGAAAGATATTACAGTTTCAGCAAGAAAGGAATTTGTGCTTCCTTGTTGAACATTAAATTATTTTACTTTGCATTTTATAAGAGTACAAATTAAAACTGAGCCATTGAACTGCAATAAATCAACAATAGTGTCTCATTTCAAGAAGTTTTTTGTACTGTACATAGATTTGTTCAATAAAACATTGTTCTTATTGGTAATGAAGTGTTCATTTTTTTAAGCTGCTTTATTTTTTTTAAATATATTTTTATTGATTTCAGAGGGAAAGGGAGAGAGAGAGAGAAACATCAATGATGAGAATCATTGATCAGCTGCCTCCTGCATGCCCTCTACTAGGGATCAAGCCTGAAATCAGGGCATGTGTACTGACCAGGAATCGAACCACAGAGTCACACCGGCTGGGCTGAAGTGTTCATTTTTGTGTAACACAACCCTTCAAAGGAAATAGGCTTAATATATATATATTAAATAAGAAATTTCTATTATGTCTTATAAGAGAATGAGGTATTTCCGTTCATATCATGTTTAGATTATTGAGTGATTTTTAAAAAATATAGAAAAAATAAATATAAGTTTAATTAAGTAGACCTTTTTAGAAATTATTTTAACTAATGTCCACATGCAGGAATTACACATTGATAGAATGCTGGTTACTGAAGTCATTTCAAGTAAATGGCTTCAGTGTGAGGTAGGTGGAAGACAACTATCAGAAGCAAGCCTGGATGGATTTGTTTACGTTGGTAATTCTTCAAAGATGAAGAGCTTTTGCTGGAACTTAAAACAAAAACTGAAGTCATTTGGAAATAAGATGTAAACGATGAAAATTAACCACCTACAAAAACATTTCAATGGGAAAATATCTAAGCCAATTAATCTGTGTCTAAAAGTGAGGGCTCCTATATTTTTGGTTCACTAACAAAGGAAAACCCCCTCCACTTTGCTATAACTTGCAACTGGAAAAAAATGGGCCTGATGTAGGAAAAGGACCTCTTTAATGTGATGAGATAGTACTGCAAATGATAGAACATATACTGTGTTAAATACACTGTTTTGTACATGTTACAAATGTTACCCTTTGAAAAACACTATGAGAAAGTTATTAAAGCATAGAGTTGAGATCTAGAATTCTCGGTCTATGATTTATGAATATATGGTCTTAGACTATTAAATGAGGTATTTAGATAAAATTATTGGGGTTATCTACACTTTTTTCTGAAACTTGAGGAATTCTGAGAAGCAATCAAATATTACTAAGTACCTTTCAAATAAATAGGTTGTTCTTCATAGCATAAGATCTATGCTGATTTCAAGAACCAACTGATAACAGAGACAAGTTTTGGCTCTACATCAAGATTTGAAATGGAGGCAATCCAATAGTACATGGAATAAAAATTAAAAGTGCAAGAGAAGTTCATGCCTTATGGGTCCAACATACTGGAGAAGAAATGGCTTCTTGTTTTATTAAATTACTGTGTACAAACTATACGTGTAACCCCTAATTGTTAAAACAACAATAGATAAGAACACTGCTTTTTAAAATCAAGATTCAGAAAGGTTAAATAACTAAAGTCACATAGCTAATAAATAGGTGGAACTGAAAAGTCAGATGTGTCCTAAAACCATGCCATCCAGTTTCCATTCTGCCATGCTGTTTTCCCTACAAATACAGATCATGAGTGGATCTAATACATTCAAATTGAGAGGGCTAGACTTGCCTGAGGATCAGTGATTTCAGAGACAAAGGATGAAGTTGGCTACAGACAGCTGTTTGATGTTTTATTCTCTTCTACCACAGTATGGTCACCAATGGTCTCCAAAGCAGCAGAATCTCAGAACTTGTTAGAAATGCTAAATTTTGGTCAGGTGAGGGACCAATCTGTTTTTGAGAAGTCCTCCAGGTGATTGATACACACTAAGATTTGAAAACTGCAGACCTAAAGCAACAATGTTCTTCATTATTTCCCTAGAGGAGGTAAGCTATGTTCCCTTAAATTCAGTCTTTTCAGAAGCTCAATTTCCAGGAAATTTGAAGTACTTAACTACTTTGGGGTGAATGGATATTTTAATAGTAAGACCTAATACCCCAAACCACTCTAATCAAGAAAACTTTTCTTTCCTCAAAACCATTCAGTAAGTGAAACTGCCAGAACATGATTTAATGGAAACAGCCCATAGAGGTGTGGGGATCAGGCTCAATTCCCGATAGGGGGTGTGTAGGAGGCAGTCAATCAATGTTATGCTTTGATATCGATGTTTCTCTCCCTCAAGATCAATTTTTTTAAAAATCTTAAAAAAAAAAAAACAGCAAGAAAACCACTGCGACTAGACTGGAGTGAGAGTGAGAGAATAACTGGAAATGAAGGCAGAAAGGTAAAAATATAAAAGCCCAAGTCTATAATGGCAGGCAAGGCTCTATCTAATACAGTAGACACTAGCCACATGTGGCTATGAAAATATAATTAAAATTAAAATAAAACGTAAAATTGAGTTCCTCAGTTGTATTAGCCACATTATAAGAGCTCAAGAGCCACATGTGGCTGATGGTTATTGTATTGGACAAAACAGATATAGAACATTCACATCATCTTAGAAAGCCCTTTGGACAGATGGTTCATTATCAGTGATCCTCAACTAAGGGTGGGGTTTTTTTGTCTCCCAGGCAACACTCAGCAAGTTGGAGGCATTTTTGGTATCAGTAACTGGAGAGAGAAGATGCTACTGGCATCTAGTAGGTAGAAGCCAGGGATGCTGTTAAGCATCCTACAACACATAGGATAGCGTCTACAATAAAAAATTATCCTACCCCCAAACTCCAGGGTTGAGAAACACTGCTCTGGATCAATCATGACTACAACTCTAACTTCACTTACTAATTGCCTCCTCCTTCCACAAGCTGCTCCAGCCTCCTGGCACTCTTCTGTAGTTCACGCTCTCATTTTCTTCAGATCTTTCCTTCAGTGTGGCTTAGAGAAGCCTTTCTTGACAGCCTGTATAAAATAGCAACATCCTCTCCATCACCCTCCTTTTGATATTTTTTTTAAATTAAATCTTTATTGTTCAGATTACATTTGTTCCTCTTTTTTTTCCCCCCATAACTCCCCTCCTCCCAGTTCCTGCCCCACCCTCCGCCCTCACTCCCCACCCACTGTCCTCATCCATAGGTGCACGATTTTTGTCCAGTCTCTTCCCGCATCTCCCATTCCCCTTTCCCCCCCAAGAATAGTCAGTCCATTCCCTTTCTATGTCCCTGATTCATTATAATCACCAGTTCATTCTGTACATCAGATTATTTATTCACTTGATTCTTAGATTCACTTATTGATAGATGCATGTTTGTTGTTCATAATTTGTATCTTTACCTTGTTCTTCTTCCTCTTCTTAAAGGATACCTTTCAGCATTTCGTCTAATACTGGTTTAGTGGTGATGAACTCTTTTAGCTTTTCCTTATCTGTGAAGCTCTTTATCTGACCTTCAATTCTGAATGATAGCTTTGCTGGATAAAGTAATCTTGGTTGTAGGTTCTTGGTATTCAGCACTTTGAATATTTCTTGCCATTCCCTTCTGGCCTGCAAAGTTTCTGTTGAGAAATCAGCTGACAGTCGTATGGGTATTCCCTTGTAGGTAATTGAGTCTCTTTCTCTTGCTGCTTTGTCTTTTGCTCTTGGCATTTTAATTATGATGTGTCTTGGTGTGGTCCTCTTTGGATTCCTTTTGTTTGGGGTTCTCTGCGCTTCTTGGACCTGTAAGTCCATTTCTTTCACCAGGTGGGGGAAGTTTTCTGTCATTATTTCTTCAAATAAGTTTTCAATATCTTGCTCTCTCTCATCTTCTGGTATGCCTATAATTCTGATGTTGGTGCGTTTGAAACTGTCCCAGAGGCTCCTTACACTATCTTCGTATTTTCGGATTCTTTTTTCATTTTGCTTTTCCGGTTGGGTGTTTTTGGCTTCTTCGCATTTCAAATCTTTGACTTGATTCTTGCGCTCCTCTGTTCTGCTATTGGGTGTCTGTATAATATTCTTTATTTCAGTCAGTGTATGCTTAATTTCTAGTTGGTTCTTTATCACAACATCGAGGGTCTCATTAGATTTCGTGAGGCTCTCATCAAGTTTATTGGCAGCTTCTAGCACATTATTGAAAGCCCTCAAAAGTGCGTTTTTTAGCTCTATATCCTCCATTTCTGTCATGTTTTTTTGTCTCCGCATTTTTTATGCTTTCTTGGTGCACCCCCTTGTGGTCTTTGTGCGCAGTCTTGTTCTAGTTAAGCCTTGATTGTTGTAGTTAATACTAGAGGGATTTGACCACCAGGCCGACTGGCTGTGAGAATCAGCTGTATCTGCAGTGGGAAAACTTCTGTCCTCTGGAGAGGTGCTGATCTAGCCTTTGCCTGAGGCTATCCGGCAAATGGCTCTGCGCAGGGCTTGGGCGGGGCGGGATCAACAGGGCGGGCGGAGGGAGCGGTTATGGCTGCTCTCAGTCCCGTTCCCAGAGGCTCTGCTTCTCAGAACCCTGGCAACCGCTGCAAACCTCGGAGAGAAAGCTGCCCTCACGTTCCAACTGATGCCAGACAATCCCGCTTCTCCCATTTGAGTCTGAGTCCCTAGAGACTCGCCCGGATCTGGAGCTCAGAGTCTGAGACTCCCTCCCGATTGAAAACGACAACCGCACCCTCAGCCACCAGCCGGCTCCACGCGCACCTCCGTACCTTTGTATTTTCCACACTGCGCCTCCTCTGAGCCTCGGTATGCTGTTCTCTTTCCTTCTAGTTGAAGAGTCTGTCCTCGGCCAGCTTTCCTGTGGTTCTGGGTGATGTCCGTTCCGTCTTTTAGTTGTATTTTTGAAGTGGTTGTTTGCGGCAGCAATCTCTGGTGTTTACCTATGCCGCCATCTTGGTTTCTCCCTTTTGGTATTTTTTTAAATCCATACTATTCTGGACAATACATAATTTCTTGTATGTTTATTTTTAGCTTCCTTTCACTCGAATGCAAGCTACAAATGACTTGCATTTATTTCTAGCATACAGAACAGTGCCTGACAAGCTGATGCTCAATAAATACATGTTCCGAATGATATGAATGAAAAAGTTGGGCATGCCATTCATGTGGTTCCACACCAGTCTGATGAGCACTTACTTGTCATGCTTTACTTGCCAAACTCCCAAAAGGTCCTCGAAGGAAGGTCTGTATCATTTTTCTGTATCTTCAATACCTAGAATACTAGGCACTCAGTAATGCTTAACGAAAAATGAATTGGTATCTGTTTACTAAAACACCCAAACAGCATCCACCGCCAAATTAGATTAAGGATGCTGTGAACGCCTGTTCTGAAGACTACATTCAAAGTACATTTTATGACTGATATTTCGCTGTGTTTTTTTTTTAAATATTAAATTTGCTCACGGGATCTGCATGTGTCTACATTTCAGCTACTAAATGGCAATACACTAATTAAATGTAGACGAATCTAAAACACGGCTTAAAAACGGAAGAGACAGAGGCAAGTGTTTTAAATCTGATCCCTAACCGGACTTCCCCGCGGAGCAGGATTGTTTCCCCTCGCGTGAATGTGAGCTGCTGTCGTCGTAAGAGTAACAGTAACGCTAACAGTTGTTGAACTCTTTCTTTCTAAGGGCAGGCACTCTACACACACACACACACACACACACACACACACACACACACACCCCCCCCCCCTTGCCAGCAAGCCCCCATTGGCATCTCTACTAGCTCCGTTTCGAGACAGGCTGAGGGACAAGTGTCTAAAGAGCTCGCCCACGGTCACCGGGGGAAAACTGTTGGGTTAAAGCCGTGGCCTCCGGCGTCCAGCACTTAACCTGCTGCTACCGCCCCTCTCGGACCTGGTCTGCGGGAACCGGAACGGGAGCGACAGCCGACCCGCCGGAGAGGAGTCAGCTGGCAGGCGTGGCAGAGGAGAGGTGATTTTTAAAAACACACCCGAAAAGCTTTCCATAGTATGATGTTAAAACCAAATTATTTTAACACAGTACCATGCAACTCAAGAATATCAATCTGCGGGCACGCCCAACTTGCAAGTGGCCGAGGCGGACTTTCAACCGCTCCCGGGGGCCGGGCCGGCGGGCGGGGAGGAGGTGCCTCCATTGGCCGGCCCCGGGGCATCACGGGAGTTCGCCGTGCTTCCAGGCGGCGCTCGCTTTCACGCACCTGCACCTACGCAGCCCTCCCAGGCGCTCTTTTGGAGAAGGGACTCCTAAGGCTTTCAGGGCATCACTTTCCGCAACCAGCTGCCTTATGGAAGGTCGATGTTCTCGGTGTAAATGCGGTGCTTTCCTAAAGTGAGAGTCAAGAGACTCGCTCCGTCCTGGCCACCCCGGAACGACAAGTTGGAGCCCCGCGTTTCCTGATCGACCTCATTGGCGGCATCACTTCCGCCCAGGGTTTGGAATACCCGAGGCGCTTTGGCGGCGAACACCCGGAAAGGCACTGCCGGTGCCTGTTGCCAAGGCGCCGGCCCCGTGGGCCTAAAGGAGCGACATTATTGGCGTCGTCCTCTCCCCCCTTCCTGGGGGTCGAGATGTCGGGGCTCAGCTGCCCAGAGAGAGAGGGCTGTCGTAAGCTGCTCGGCCTGCTGGATACCGACGAGATCATGGCCCTGTGCGACACCGTCACCAACCGCCTGGTGCAGCCTGAAGACCGCCAAGGTGAGGAGAGGCCCCCACCCCCACGGGCGGTCGGCCCTCCCCGGGCCTCCCGGTCCCGCGGGTCCCGGCAGCGGCGTGGAGGAGGGAGGCGCGGCCTCGCCCCCGCCGGTCCGGACCGCGCTGGACGGCGCCCGCGGGAGTCGGGCCACTGCAGCCGCTCCGCGGCCTGGGACCCGCCCGCAGCCTCGGCCGGCCCCGCTGCGCCATCCCCCCCGGGAGGCTGGGGCCCTGAAAAGGGCGCTGGTTTTACCCGTTGAGCAATGTAGGCAAATGTTTGTTTAGAGAACGTGAATAGTCATTTAAAAAAAAAAAAGGAACCATTTTGTTTCGATCAGCTGAGCGAGCGTCAGCTGTTAGCCGCTCAGGCATTTTCGAGCTTGGAAGGGAATATCAGACATATTGTTCCATCTCCTGAGTAAAACAGATTATTACTGTAATAAAGGCGGGTGGTTTGAATTCATCTATGTTCTTGGATCCAGGTTTTTTTCTGAGATTTTATGTAGAAACACATTGCTTCAAGGGTTATTAAACATAAGCCTGACTGTAACGAGTCCGGATAAAAATGTAATGAGTAGCTTAATAGTTTGTTTCATTTTATATACCACCTGGCCAGTTTTATTCTAAACTTGCTGGATTTTACTCTAAAATGTCAAAATTCCAGCCCCCTATAGTAGTAAGTGACTTATTTATAAAAGACGCCGCTTTTTAACACTGTATTTTTCTACTTAAGTCAGATTTACATGTTAATCATTTAAGAAAATCTCTCATTTGAAACTTCGAACCATGAACATTGAAAGCAGAAATTCCTAAGAGAATGGTTTTAGACCTAATGTAATTCTTCAGCTTAATCACCTCTAAAGTCATTTTGAGTGGATTTAAAATTGTAATACATCGAAATGCTGGATTTACTTGGTTCCCAGTACAAGAATGTTAAATGATTTGAAGAAATGTTTCTCAAAGAGGAAAATACAATCACTAAACATATGAAAAGGCAACCTCTTAGAAAGCAGTGAAATGAAAACCAAAACACACACGATCTCTCCCCCCCCCATATACCAAATTGGCAAAAAAACTAAATGTACAAACTTCAAACGTTGGCGATCATGTGGAACAGCTTTTAGAACTACCGCTTTGGAAGCAGGTTTGACGTTCTCTCCTCAAGTGGAAGATGAGCTCCCTCCGAGGCACAGGTTTCTGGACCTGAGCTGCTCCAACCGGAACGTGCCTGTGGATCCCGGGGACCTTGTTCAAGCGCAGATTCTGGTTCAGGGGCCGGCGGTGGGCCCAGAAGGTCCACGTTTTTAGCAAACCCCGAAGTGATGCTCATCTTGTCCCTCTGCACTAGGGGACATGCGTGGAAGAAAGTAATAGTTTGGTAATTGGACACACACGTTGAAACCCTATAAACAGAAAGATAAATACTTTGTGACGTAGTCCGATAATTAACTATGGTACAACTGGCATTAATAAAGCTACGTATATTCTAATGATTAATCTCAGAAACAACATTAAGGCAAAAGCTGATTACAGAAGACATCTATTGATGGGTTGAATTTACAGAACGTTCAAACAATAGCAAATTACATTGTTCAGGGATATGTCACTAAAAAAAAAAATCAAGGAAATCATAAACAACATTTAGGATAATAGCTACCTGTGAGATAGATGGGTAGAGAGAGGGAATGGCATTCAGTAGGGAGGGGTAAAATATGACCTCAAAGATATTAGTAATTTCCTGTGTCTCAAGCTGCATGTTATGTACATGGGAGTTCATTTTATTGGTATTCTGTATACCTCACACATGTTAAAAATAATCTTTTGTCTGTTATTTAATATAATTTTTTAAATTAAAAAAATACAAGTCTGGGTTCTGCCAATTCTTGGGAGCATAATTATTGATAGCTTATGTATCCTCAAGTTTCATTATCTGTAGAGTGAGGAGATTGAACTAAAAGTTTTTGTACATGTAAAATACTGTGATTTTGCCCATTTTTAGGAATTATAACTGAATGTAGGTCCATTGCCTTATTAGAAAATTTTTTTTCTGGCTTAATTTTTTTCTTATAACACTAGGTTTATTTTTTTATTTATTTATTATCCTCACTTGAGGGTATTTTTCCACTGATTTTTTTTAGAGAGAGTGGAAGAGGGAGGGAAAGACATAGAGAAATATCGCCCTGACCAGGGCCTGGGCCAGGGAGGAGCCTGCAACGGAGGTATGTGCCTTTGACCAGTTACCCTTGACCTGAGATCCTTCCATTTGCAGGCCGACACTCTATCCACTGAGCCAAACTGGCTAAGGCTTTTTTAAAAGAAATGCTAGAATTTCATTATATTAATGAGAAGTGAAAGGAAGAGGGAATTTTAGGTAGGGAAGTTGAAAGCATAAAGAAATTTTTTTTAAAGTCCCAAACCTGACAACCTACTTCCTGGTTTTTAAAAATGATAACCATCTCATGCAGAAGCAAAAATGTCATGACAAGAGTAGATAGTTGATAGTTTGTGCTGATCCTGGACAAATTTACAAGTGACTCATGATTTTCTATTAATCTTTACAATTTCCTTCTAGATGCCATTCGTGCAATCTTAGTGTACAGTCAAAGTGTAGAAGAACTTCTGAGGCGTAAAAAAGTCCACCGAGATGTCATATTTAAGTACTTGGCATCACAGGGGGTTGTTATACCTCCAGCTACTGAAAAACACAATCTTATCCAGCATGCAAAGGATCACTGGAAAAAGCAATTACATCTGAAATTGAAGGAAACACCAGAGCGAGTTAACACCTCTCAGGACATTAGAGACTTTAAACAGGTAAAATTGATCGTATAGTTACAACCTGAACCATAATTTTGTTTCAGACTCTCTAGATAATCCTAGATCTGGTGTAACATGTTAATAATATTTTGATTTTTGAAGTAATTTTAGCTTTTCTTCATTTCTACTTTAAAAGAATGCTATTGTAAGCGCTTTCTCATTTTGAAAATGGTCTCTGGTATTAAATTTCAGAAATTCCATGAAAAAAACTTAAATACTTTTTACATTTGGTTTTTAATCTAGAAAAAATTTTGTTGTAATTTCCACTTGCTGACATTGGCTGTTACTATTCCTTTATATCTTTACTGTACATTTTAGATATTGTGTGAATATTTAAAAGTTGATTGAATGAACCTCTAGGTCATTTGCAGATTTTTAAACTGCACACCACAAACTGAATTAATGAGGTTTTACAGTGAGAGCTATTTCACATTAGGAAAGGATCTTACAAGGTCTTTCCTAATGTACTGAAAAGAACCTTGACTGTTAAATCCTAACTGATGTGATTTCAAATTAGGGTCTGCCATATAATCGGTGTGAACTTGTGCAAATGACTTGACCTTTTTGAGCCCTGTTTTCTTTATCTACAAAATGGGCATAAGGATAATATCTATGTCATAAGGCTTGTGAAGATAAAAGTAAATAGCACATACCACAGTGCCCAATATATTCAGTAGCATTGCTCAGTAAATACAAGATTTCATAACATGTAAATGAGATAGTTTTTTTCATAACCTGTGAAACCACTGGCACAATCAAGAGAAAATGCTTATATAAATCATTATTATTGATTATTCATGATGATATTTTAAGAGGCTTTTGCGAAAGTCCACGGCCAGCGTGGCTTTCGCTCGTTCAAAGGCTTGGAGGAAGAGCTGATGCACAAATGATACACAAGATGAAATATTATTTTTAATACTGGGGGAAACTAGAGGAAAACTCAACCATAGCAGTTAAGTTCTCTCTCACTGCTCCGTTCCCAGCTGCTTTTATTAGCTAGAATACACAATTGCCTTTAGGAATGCAAACAGACATATCAATGGTAATGTTTAGTAAACAGTAAGATTGTCAGGTTTTGGGGGAGTTTGCTTTAGGCCATTAAGTCAGCAGCAGGTAATAAAATGTAGATATTCACCCTGTGAATATCAAAAGGAGTCCTGGTCAGCCTTCTGCCAGACTCCTCACATTTTATATCAGTTACTGTTGATCTTGGTTTCCAGCAGGCTTTGTTAAACCTTAATTTTTTAGCTGGATTTTTGAATGTTTCAGCTGGGAAATTCTAAAATGGTTTTCCCCTTTTTGCAGAAAGAATTTACTATGCATGATAGGTTCGGTGAGTTTACATGTAGTTCATTTCCCTTGTGCTATAATTAGTACTATATTAAAACCTAGCTCTGAAACAGGCTAGATAGAAAAATAGATACAAGTATTAACCTTGGTTTTATTTTGTATTTATCTTAATCCACAGGAGAAAGAAGATAAAACTGAAAAAGTTGATTTCCGTCGATTAGGAGAAGCATTCTGTCGCTGGTTCTTTGAACTTCTTAATTCTCAGAATCCTTTTTTTGGACCACCTCAAGATGTATGGGGGCCACAGCACTTCTGGCATGATGTCAAGCTTAGGTTTTACTACAACACATCTGAACAAAATGTGACATACTACCATGGAGCAGAAATAGTGAGCCTTCGTCTGCTGTCACTTGTGAAAGAAGAACATCTTTTTCTCAGTCCCAACCTTGATTCCCATGGATTGAAATGTGCTTCTTCTCCCCATGGTTTGGTTATGGTTGGAGTTGCCGGGACTGTCCACCGAGGGAACTCTTGTTTGGGCATTTTTGAACAAATTTTTGGACTCATCCGCTGCCCTTTTGGGGAGAATACTTGGAAAATCAAATTTGTCAACCTGAGGATTATTGGACAGTCTTCCCTTGCTCCTGAAGCATTAATGAAACCAGCTATTACATTTGAACCGAGTGATCTAGAGGCCTTTTATAATGTAATTGTTGTATGTGGTGCCAATGAAGTACAAAGTAATGTAAGGCAGACGGATAGTCGAACTGGAGACCAAGGTTTGTGCAGTGGAAATGAGGCATTGTTGAACAAAAGATAACTGAGTTTAAGTAATCCTCTAAAGCACTGAGCACTGTATGTACGGAGACTATTCCAGATACTACATTGAGATATTTTAGTTGAAATATCTTTTTTGACTACAGACTAACATATGTGAATACTTGCCTCTTTCTACCTGAGCTGCTGCAAAATGTTCTAAGGGCTTAATGCAGTTCAAATAAATCCCACTTTAGATGTTATAAATGTTGTGCCCTAGAAACCAGGTAATATTTTCATTTTACTGAGTATAAATGTTCTGCTAATGTGTATACATTTCATGTGGAAAAGGAGTGATGGTGTTCAAGGCTTCCCATAATTTTACAATATTTAAAAAATATGCACTTTAAAAAAATTGCATATTTTAGAGATGTCTAATGTAAAATCAAACTTCTTATTTTAGAAAACATCAGTGACATTCATATGCAGAAAGTTTAATAATATAGCAGGCATAGAAAAATTTACTTTGCCTTTTTAAAATCTGAGGAACCTATTTCAAAGTTATCTACTGTAGTCCAACTTAGATTTCTTATAACCTGCAACATTTTCTGAACTATTTTGGGCAATGTTAAGTGCTGTTCTCAAGTCAGACTTTATTATCTAAGCTCTAACAGTTTTACGGGGCATTTATTGTTAACACCATATAAAGGAAACATACTGTAGAAATTTTTGAAAGGTGTGCCCAGTTTCTAACTTTTAATTGAATTACTGTTTTTCCTCTTGCTTGATCTTGGTTGAGGCGACCAAAAAATAAAAATAAAACTGTAATGTAAGCATATACTCCCTCATCATAAATTAAAATTATTAGGATTTTTTTCACCTGTAACTTGTTTTACTAGGATTGAGTTATGCAGGTTAAGTTGCCAAATTAATTACATAGTTGCTTTAAAATTTAAATTTCTCATCACCCAGCGGCTACTTGCTGATACTGGATTTAATTTGTAATTTTAATTTTCAAATGGAAAAAAATTCAACTGGGAAATGCTGTGATGTTGTATTGTACATGTTAACTTTTTACCTTTAACTCTGCTCATGATCATCTGGGTGACTGAAAATAATTTTGGAAGCAGGAGGAAAGAACTCTTTTTTGTTTTTTTCATGCCATCCCTCTTATGAGGAGTACAGGTTGATATGTCCTAAAATAAAAACTTAAAAAAGGAGGGAAAACTCTTTTGTCTGTTATTAGAACAGTGTATTATTTAGATTTAAAGCCAATTTTATTTTTCTCTAAGTTGGAAGTATTATAACATGTAATCGATAAATATCCTAAGTAAAGGATAAATTAAAGACTATTCCCATCATTTTCTTTGTGCTGTTGATGTCAAGTACTGCAAAAAATATAACTATAGATGCTTAAGATAGACAGAAACTGCCTCTAATACTGAATTTTTGAATTTGTGTAATGCTCCAGAAAAACTGCAGTCTCTGCATGTTTGTTTTAATCACCCTTAAAAATTCAAAATCTTCCTGATAGACTAAATCTCTTAAAGATTGGAGTTATATTTCCTGTGAATCCGCAGCTGGGCACATCCATAGGACCTAATGTTGAACGGAATGGGTGAAAGGGTGACCAAAAGAAGCTTCCGTGTCTAGACTTTTATCTTTGGTGATTGTTATCAGTGGTAGCTTTTTGATCATATGGTCTGTTTGAGTTGTATATGTGGATACATGGAAACTCTTAGGCCCCAAACTAACTCAGTTTTGGGGAATATTTTAACTTTCATTTAAATTTTGATGAATTTCAGAAGCCCCAGATCAGAGTGGGATATACTAAGAGGGCTCTAAAACTACCTAGAAACTGTTATAGGGGAAGTGGATACTTCCCAGTTTGGAGGAGGCAGGCTGGGAGAAATTGAAACTTGTTCAGTAAGCTTAAAACTTGGTCAGGCCTCTATGAAGGTTCAGAAGCACAGTGCAGATTAATGCTCCTTTTATACCACCCATTGACCTGTTTATGTTAGCAAATGACACAGACCCCCACCCCAGCCTGTGTCTCTTGCTTTATTACATTTCACTGGTATTTGGAAAGTCTGTGGAGGCAAGTGGTAAAGAATAAAACATTCTGCACATAATTTATAGTAACTGAGTGGTCAAACCATGGGACCTTATGGGTTTTATTTACTGTAGGCTGATTTGCTGAAACTTAATAATAGTACACATCAAATATTCTTTTTTTGTGAAAATAAAAAAAATCTTAAAGTACTAGTTATATCAGGATATTTTATTAGTATCTAGAATGCCCCTCCCCAAAAAAACCTATTTCATGTGTCTCATTAGCAATAGCAGATAGAAAAAAAAGCCACTGCAAATAGCAAACTCAAGTCAGGAAAATGTTCCAGAGTTTTCAGAAAAGTAACATTTTTATGCTGAAGAAAGGCTAGTTACTTAGTCCCAGTAAGAAATTGTGATAACACCAGAAAAGGATTTAAAGAATAGTGGTTTAATTTTTAAAATAGCTAATCAGAAACGTGTTTTAACAACATGGCTCTTGTGGCTAAGTAGATCATAAAAATGAATGAAAACCATACTTCAACATTTTTCTTAATATCTATTTTCACAAATGTAAATGCCCTTTTCTTCACTGGTTTTTAATTTAGGTTATGGGTGGTAGTCATTGACTTTTTGAAAAATGAAAGCTATGTTCCCTCTCCTCAGAAAAAGTATGTTTGCACGTAATATTACAATTGTTGCATATTTCAGAGCTCTTGGATTTCCTTAAAGCACATCTGTGAATCCTGCCATAATAGCTTTATTCCCCCCAGACTACTATTCTACTATATTAAACATTAAAATTATTTTTAGAAAATCTGTGCCCTTGCAAGTCCCAAAACTAGAGTACTAAATTTTATAAATGATCTCTAGGCAGTCTGTTAGTTTATGATCATTGTTAAACTTTTGTTTTTCAAAAGATGTCAGATTTAAGACAAAACCTGAAATACTGTCAAGTAAAACAAAAATCAGAATTCATTTAATATAAATTTAATGTACAATGAACATGCTTTGGAGAAAGTGATAAAAATGAAAAGGAAAAATATTTTTTAAAATCTATTTTCTCAAGACCTTTATAAAAACCATCCTAAGATGTTTATTTAACAATGATTGTATATTGCTAATTCTGATGAAAGTTTTAAAAAAATAGGAACATTTCCCCTGAAGGGCCTATATATGTGATCTATTTTTCACCACTTACTCTCCCCTAACCCTATTTATAAGCTTTGTATATAGTCATTTTGCAGATAGCACAGCTGCAGTACTGGAAACAGGATTTTCTGGATCTGGGTTCTCTTTACGTTTATTTGGCATATACTTATTGAGCATCTACAATTTGTAAGTAACTGAATCAAGTGTGAGATAAAGTAATCCATTAGGTTATTTACCTAAATTTATGTTTATTTCAAATCACAATCCCTGTGTTGAGATTTCTTAAGGTGAGAACTATTGTAAGCCCTTTGCAAAAGGATTTGGTGTTAACCTTTTTTTGTGGTCAGAACAACAGGAAACATTTAATTGAAAATTTGAATAGTTATATGGTTCTAGCTAAGTCATACAGGTTTTACCAATACAGAGTATAGGATATTTTGACAGACCACTTTTATTTTAGAATTGTGTCAGTGTCCTGAATCCTGTTAGGTTTATTTTTTCTAGTTTGAACCTTTCCACTAGTCTTTCAGTAAAAAGTGTTAAAATTGAATGTAATATTTGCTGAGAGTTATAATGTACCTCAAAAAATTAATCCAGAAACTCCAGAATTACTTAAAGAATTTAGTACCTCCTAACTTCCGTTCCGAGTATTGCCAAATTTAATATCCCTTTTTAGTGAGTCATTTAGTGAGGATTCTTTGGTTAGTAGTTTTCATTTTCAGTTTTTAGATCATCTCAGTCTCATGTGAAATTACATTTGAATTAATTGAATTAAGGATTAAAGGAATGCCCTATTGCACACTGCCAACTGTGATAATCTGATGTTTTCTAAACAAAAAATTAATATCCACTTAGGAAAGCCATTTTTAGTTGCACAAGTTTAAAGTATTCTTTTTCATCTCCCATCTTTTACTATACTAATGGATAGTATCAACACTTAATTGTCTCAAACTGTTACATGTAAGTTACTTTTGCCTCCTACATAGATGGTAAATTCTTATTTCACAATCTTCTTTTCTTACTTATTTCACAATCTTTTCCCCTGTGTCTGGTGATTCTTATTTATTTCACAATCTTCTTTTCCCCTGTGCCTTACAGGATATATATGCTAAATTGTGGATGCTTAATATACTGGCTACTTTTCTGGGCACATTGTGTTTATTAACTCATTTTATCTTGTGGACAGCTAAATGAGGTAGATACTATTAGACTTCTTTTACCAAAAAACAGGGTTGAGTAATTTCTTAGCTTTTAGAGCTAATGGTAGAGCCTAGACTTAAACTCAGGTATTACAGCCTGAGAGCCTTGTGGTAACTACTACACTGTATTGCCTCTTATATGTAGTAAGGTTTTGATGAGTCCTTTTTTGACTGCTTATCATTTGCTGGCACTTAATTGCCTTTACTTTATATTGTTTATCTAAATACAGAATAGGAGTGTCAATGCAAATTTTATCTTTTAATTACACATTTTAAGTTGCTCCTTTAGTTATTTAAAACCACTGTGACAATATTACCTATGGAAAAGAATAAAAGTAATTGGGTAATATAAAAATATACATAACTATATATATCAAATTTCTTGAACTCATTGTCATACCACAATCTCTAGTCCTCTTCCCTACCTATTAATGATACCATTGCGCTTTCAGCCTCACCATTAGTCTGTTTCACTAGTTCAGTTTCTTGCCATGTCTGGATATAAGATATCCACAGTATTGTTTTCTATTTCAGCTGCTGCTATAATTAGATTCTCTTTACATAAACCTAGACTTATTTTAATTTATTTTTTGCTTTAATATTTCTTACATGTTTGTGACACTAAAATTCCCTTAAGTACAGCTTTTGTCATGTCTTTCATGCTTAGAACTTTCAGTGGTGGTTCATTACCTTCAAAATAAAGACCAGATTTCATAATCGGGTTTTTACCACTATCTAGGTTTGATTCCATTCATTTTCACAAATTGTTTGATCCAACATCTAATGTGTATAGTCATTATACTTACTTATCCTGTTTATTGGAAAGTAAACAAAATTGTAGAGTCTTACTTTGTTGTTGCAGTCTGATAATATATTCTAGAAAGAAAAGAATTATGATTGAAATGGAGTTTAACAATTGGAAATGCCAATAAGTAGCATTTTTTCTATTTAGGAATTCTATGTACGTCATTGTCTAGAATAATCTTTCTCCAGCTTTTTGCATGGCTACTTTATTTTCATTTTGGGGGTTTGGCTTAAATGTTTCCTCTTCTCAGACCAAGTGGACCTTCTTGTTAATATTTATCAGAGCACCTTGTTTGTCTTACCACTTAAATACTGTTAATTTACTGATTTATTAATCACTAGATTTTAAACTGAGAGCAAGGACTGGAACTGTTTCACTTTCATTGCTTCCACTGCTTTGCACACAGACTAAGTATTCAATATTTATTAAAAATATAAATAAGGAAACAAACGCTACTGTTTATTCAGGGCCTTATATATTCCTAGTGTTTTGCCTAGCTGCTAAAGACAATGTCTAGCATATATATTACATGCTCAGTAAATATTTGTTTAATGAATAAAGCCAGAGTTATCTTCCTGAATACTGATATATAAGCTCTAATATAATCAATACTCTTTAGTGGATAGAATTATTAAAGTTTTATGCTTTTGTAAAAAATAAAGAAACTGAGCCCACACCCAAAATTAAGTAAGGTGCTGAAGTTTACATAATTTTGTTTTGGAGATTTTTCCCTGGGCTTTTTGGTTTGTTTGTTTTATTTTTCAACTACAAAGCCTGTGTTTTTTCTCACTCTTTGTTTCCAGTCTGAATACTACAACTACCTTATTTTGAAAGGATTTAAACTCTAATCCTCAATTTCTTCACACATAGTGAACCAATTAGATAAGATTATTTTTAAAGCCTGATTTTGAAGTTACATGGTTTTGTGATTATGTCTTCTAAGCAACTCAAGGATATTACTTTTAAAGGAATTTGTAGTTCATTGTTGAGGAAATTTTTTGCTTCCTCATAAATCATGCTCTTTGAAAAACACTTCATTTTTTGTTTTTTTTCTAATAAGTTACATTTTAAATGTATGTGTGTGTTGTGTATACTTCTATTTATAAGAAGGGAAAAAATCAAAAGGATAAAAATATTACATATCAAACCTAGAATA